TTCTCTCTCTCTCTCTCTTTCTCCACGGTTTAAAAAACAAAATAATAATAATAATAATAATAATATATAAAAAAACTTTAATATTATTAAAATATTAGCTAAATCATCGACTCGCATTAAATCGAAAAAAAATAAAGAAAAAAAAAATTCATACCGTAAATAATCATTGAAAAAAAACGATCTCATTCTTCTTTAAGAAGTTAAATTTCATTCCCTCTCTCTCTCTCTCTCTCTCTCTCTCTCTCTCTCTCTCTCATTCATTCATTCATTCATTCCGTGGTTATTACAAATAATAAAAAAAACACTAATGACGGTCTATAAAAATAAATAAAAAAAATATAAATATAAACAAAACAAACAAACATACTGTTGTTGTTGGTTAAATACAACAAAACTTATTTTGCAAAGATGGTGATTCAAAAAATGCATACGAATTCGTCTACCTGTACACGATCATCTTTCACTAACTCCCCACCCCTCTCTCTCTCTCTCTCATCCACCTTCCTTTCATCCCCCCAAAAAAAAAAAAATAAGAAAAAAATGGAAGAAAAAAAAGAAATTTACGTCTTAAATTCTTACAATTTGTATAAGGAAAAATTATTATTATTTTTCGTTTAGAAAATTCCTATTTAAACTTTTTCGTCTCTCTCTCTCTCTCTCTTTCTCTCTCTTTCTTTCTTTTATTTATTTATTACTCTCGGCGATTTTTTTTTCATAACAAAAAACCATTCGAAAAAAAAAAAAATATTTATTTATATATATATTTAAAAGTGAAAACTCATAAACTCTCACACTCACACACATACATAAAATGCTTTCTAACATATTTCAAACATTTGTTGTTGTTATTTCACTTCCTCTTTTTTCTTTCTCCCCATTTTGTTTTTTTTTTTTTTCTTACAAACATTTTCATACTTATTATCATTATCATTATTAAAATTCATTCGAACCTTTCAGGTACGCAAATTAAATACCTTTTAAAAAAAATAAAATAAAAAAAAGCCAAGGAAAAAAATTCAAGGTCGTCCTAGACTTGGAAAAAAAAAATTTGTTTTTATTTTATTTTTTTTTTTTTATAAAATTCGAGAATCGAAATATCTCGTTACTTTCGTAAATTAAAATAAAATCGAACATTCGAGAATTTATTTATGTGTGGAATTATTTCATCGTGACAAAGACTTGAAATGATTTAAAAAAAAAAAAAAATTTTTTTTCCAATTCGAAACCATTTTGATAAAATCCAACAACTTCAACACCAACAACAACAATAACAACGACAACGAAAAAAAAAAAAAAACCTTTTCGTAAACGATTCGACCTTTAATTATAATCATTATTATCATTCATTTCCTTCTCTTCGAAACACAATTTAATATAATTATTTCCCAAGTTAAAAAATTATGGATAATAAATGACGTTGGGAAAGGTTTCTTTCAACAACAACAAAATTCTTATATAATTTGATTTTTTTTTTTTTTTTTTTTTTTTTTTTCAATTTCCGTGAGGTTAAATTACCACTGAATAAAAAAAAAAAAAAAAAAATTATGTTCTTTCATTCTTCACGGATTTCAAATACTAATGTAAAATCAATCGATCATTTCATTTACCAATATATATCGAACAGCTGATCGAACGTCAAAAAAAAAATTTCTGCCACGAAACGTGTATTATTACATGTCTTATAATAAATAATTATTTATTATTATAAAAAAAGTTGATTTTTCTTATTTAATAAAAGTTGTTTTACAATCGAAAGTTGTCATTATTATTATTATTATTATTATCACACCGACTATTTGTAAAGTAAAAAATAAAATAAAATAAAAAAAACTTACTTTTACCATAAGTTTCCCTGATAGCAACAATTATATAAAAAACAAAATAAAATATCCAATAATAAATGAATCCACCCATATCACCAAACCATTTTATGGCTGACAACCATCATCATCATTTTACACTTATAATATTATTATTATTATTATTAATAAAAATTTCTCTTTTGTTTTGTTTTTACATGATAATAAAAAAGTGAAACAAAATCTTGTGAACTTATAATATAATTGTTATGAAACGAATCATAACTTAAATGCAAAAACGAAAAAAAAAAAAAACTTGAAATATGAACGTTAAAAAAAAAATTTCTTAATTCGACCAAACTTTCTTTAACATTAACGAATAAAAAAAAAAGGAAAAACTGACAAAAAAAAGTTTTCAAGTTCGTATTGAAAAAATTATTTTCAACATGTTTAAATAAATAAATAAATAAATAAAAATAATTATAAATAAAAAAAAAAAAAAAAACCGAATGTAACGGATCAAACGACACGCTCACTTCTCTTCACAACCGACATTTTTCTTTCTTTCTCTCTCTTTTTCCCTCTTTCCCTCTCTCTCACTCTTCCTATCCCCATAACATTCAATCTAAAAGTTTAACTTACGACTGATTTTAAGAGACTAGGAGGCAAGTTCAAATCGGTGCCGAACAGTTTGAAACTTGTTTGTGAAAAAAAAAAAAACTGAGTGCAAAAACGAACTAACCGACAAATTATTCAATTTTTTTTTGTTTTAATTATGAAAAAACCGTCCAATTTTTTTCTCGAAATTTCTCGAACGTGAAATCTTTTTTTTTTTTTTATTATTAAAAAAAAAGCAATTCGACGTTAACGAACTTTTAGTTTTTTCTAGAACTTTCATCTCCGTATTCAAAAATTTTTCATTTTTTTCCCCCTTCCCTCGGGGGTTTCCGTACAAAAAAATTAGTCACGTGACTTTTTTTTATTTTAACGACAACCACCCAAAGAACGAAAAATGGAGGGAAGTTAATGAAATTTTGTTTATATTCGCGCGACATTTTTTTTTGTTGATATTTAATTAAAATTTTTTGTATTTTATTAATTAATTACTTTTTTTAACTTTAAGCAAGTTTTAGAAAGTTGACGAAATCGTAAAAATAAAAAAAAAAAAATAAAAATTTCCAGTCGTAAATAAAATATGTATACGTACGGATAAAATTAAAAAAGAATTTTTTTTAAAATAATTTTTGTGGGGGCGTCGATGAGAGAAAATATCAAAAATCAATAACATTTGAATTTTATTCGTTTAAAAGAGGGGTTAAAATTCTCTCTCTCCCTTTTACAAAATGAAAATTTTTCCTTTTTTCTTCAACCCTTCTCGTATTTTCAAAAGTCATCACATTACTAACCAACCCTCCAACCCTTCAACCAAAGCAAAAGAGAATAAAAACTTTTTTTTTGTTTTTTAATTAATCGATTTTTTTTCCTTTGACAAAATTTGATAAAAAATGAATAATTTTTATTAAAATTTTACAAATTAATATAAAAATAAAATGTGATGACGTATTATTAATAAATTATATATATAGATTTTCGTTTTTGTAATGGCAAAACCCATGAATTTCTTTTTTTTTGTGAAAATAAAACTTTATGTTTCACCGAGATAAAAAAAAAATAAATAAATAAGTTATTAATAACTTGAAAATAACATAAACATTCTCTTTTATTAATTTTTTTGGCTTTAGATAGGTTTCAATTAAATTAAAAATAAAATAAATTTTTCTTTTTTTTATAATATTTTATTTTTTCTTTTCCTGATGTGGAAATTTTTTTTGTAAATTATATATATATATATATATATATATATATATATATATATATATATATATATATATATATATATATATATATATATACATATAGATTTGTTTCTTCTTCCTTTTTTTATGGTAAATAAAAAAAATACAATATACATGTTATTAGGTTATGTACAATAATAATAATAATAATAAAACAATTGAAATACTTTTTCAGGTAAATCTAAGTAATGTTTGATTTAATTAAAACTCAGTCTGCAGAATTTAAATATACAAATATGAAAAGAGCAAAAATTTTTTAAACATTTCCCCCTTCCTCCTTCCCCCCCATCCCCAATACAATAAAGATAAAAAATAATAATAATAAGCTCTCTTCTTTTTTAATCTGCTATTAATATTTATTTAAAAAAAAAAAAAAAATTACTCAATGATGACAAAATAAATTTTTTTTTTTTTTTTTTTTACCGATTCTGGAAAATTCATTTTTTTTTTTTTTTTTGCATTCTTAATTCGATTCATGGCAATGAACTTGATTAAATAAATATGTTATTGGAAATATTATTATTAAAATTGACTTTCAGTCGATCGTTATTTATTTATTTATTTTTATTATTATATATTTAACATCAGACTTGTCGTCCCATTAAATTAAAAATAAAACCAAAAAAAAAAAAAATATATTAATATTTATATTAAGGCACTTCAAGACCTAATTTTTTATTTTAATTTATTAATTATGAACTTTCCAGAAGCAGATAATTAATTTATTTTAACGTTTGATGAAAATTCTTTTTTTTTTAACAAAAAGAAAAAAAAAGCTTAAAATATTAAATTTTTGTTTGGAAAATAATGGACAATTACCATCTGACGACGACGACGACGACGATTATAAGACAAATGGCATAAAGTCACACTTATTTTTCTAAGGTAACGTTTGTCAATAATAATGATGATAATAATAATAAATAAAAAAAAAATGATGATAAATTTATTATTATCGAATTACAAATAAATCGTAGACGACTTCATGGTATTGAAATATAATTGACGTATTTCTTATTAAAAGCCTATTGAATAATTACGATATATAAAATACGCTTTAGTGCATTTTTATTTTTATTTTTTTTGTAAGTAACTTTTAACTAAAAACGTTTCAATTTCTAACGAAATCATACAAAAAAAAATTTGTATTATTTACTGACTACTAAATACACACTTTTCGTATTTTTGCTTTTCTTTAATGTCACTACTTTCGAATTATTTCCTATTAATTTTTTATAAAATAAATTATTTAATTAGTGCAATCAGTTTTTTTTTTTTTTTTTTTTTTTTTTTGGCACGCTCTAAGACTTGTTTATTCCTTATTTATATTAGAAATATTTGAAAATCATGATCGTGGCTTATGTACTTGGCATGTTGAAATAAAAGTTTCTTGTTCCAAAGACCATCCGTTTTCCTTAGCGCAATGATAGTGAGACCTGTTGGGACAATTTCTAAACACGCAACCTATATTTGCACCGAAAGATCCACATTTACTGCACATCTAAAAAAAAAAAAAAAATAAAAAAAAAATAAAAGTCGTAAAATAATGAGAAAAAATACGACGTCGTATTTTTACTTTGAATAAGGATAACCAACCGTTTTTACACTGGACCAAATTGCTTCTTGCATTCCTATTATTCTAGAACCTACGAGGCACACGTTTGGTGACCAAACCGCACATTGTTCATGTACCCAAACTTCGTAGCGCAATTGATCGGTTTGATCATCGGAAATCACAGTCATACCAATGAGACAAGAATCAGTGGATTGCGCTCTCCTCAACTGAAAAAATTAAATTTAAAAAATAATTTTTTTTTTGTCCTCATTTCAAATACAATGCAAAAAAAAAAAATTTTTTTTTTTACTACCTTTTTTGACATTTTTTGAAAATGTTCTACCATATTGTTCGACCTTAAACTTGTTTTATTTCGTCCTCCTCTTTTTTGAGCGTCGGAAATGTCTTTTTCATCCCCGGAAAAATCACACATGGAAGTATTTTCCTCCTTCGATACGATGTAAGGTCCGAACAAATCTCCGAGAGCATTAAAATGAGGTCCTTTTTTACAAAACACGCATATCCACGTGTAATCCGTCGTGTGAGCATCGTACCGGGAAGATAATGTGCTACTAAATAAACCATTTTTACATTTTCCTAAAATTAAATACAAAAAAGGAAAAACTCAGATTCATTTCACCATCTCGAACCTCCTTCGATATCATTAAAAATATTATTAATCACCTCTATAGTCTAATTCATTAAGGTGTTTAGGTCTACTTAAACTCAACGTTTGTTTCTTAAGAGTACTTTTATCCTTTTCATCTTCGTCGTCTCCTTTTGGAAAATTAATCACAGTCACGGAAGAGGGCGAATCTCTTGATCCTTCCAAGTGCAAAATGGGACCCCGACGATCCATCGAATCGTTAAAACTCTTTTTCAATTTTTTTTTATTATCATCTTTAGTGAGGGAAGTCCTGAATTTTTTATTAAAAAATTGACTATCCGAACTCGAACTTTGTGCCGAAGATACCCTAAAATTTTTAGATTTTTTCGAAGGTTTTTTTTTCGGAGTTTTTTTAAGCGTTTCACTATTCGGAGTTTTAACTTCGGCCGATGTGGACGTGACCGTTGGTAAATCGGGGTTGTCTTCGTTGCTTTCTATAGTTTTTTCAACCAACTGAGATTCAACAACTTCTAAAACAGTTTTTTTGTTAGTGGTACCACCTGATTCCTCGTCAGCGGCTTTACGTTTTCCATTTGATATTTTTTCACTATCCGCCGTTTCACACTTTTCACTGGTTTTAATTGTAATTTCATTTTTTAAATTTTCAACTTTTAAAATTTCCTCCTTTTTTTCGTCTGGTTCCATCCTTTTCATTTTTGACTCCGAATCATTGGGCAATTCTTCAACGATGCAACTTTTCAATTCCTTTTCATTGCTACTAGGATTTATTGTTATAATTTCTAAATTCTTTGGAATGCCTTCTTTATTTCTAACGGAACTAACCGTTAAATTTTTGCTTTTCTCAACAATTACACTGGTTTCTTTACACACCTCAGCATTTTTAATACTTTCCGCTATATTTTTACTAATATTCGTATTAATTCGGTCTTTTGAATTTAATGAGGACAAATCATTTTTTGCTATATTGTTTATTCTGCTGGATGATGATATTTCTGATTCTGTACATTTTTCACTATTTTTTGAAACTAATTTCACAGGTTTTTCACTTATTTCTATTTGATTTCGAATTGTTTTAAGACTAATGGGCGGATTGCACTCTTTTTGATCGGTACTATTTTCACTTGCTGAAGTGTTAAGTGTAACTTTTTTAACTGCACTTTCTTTAGATTTAGATAAATCAGAATGAGCCGAAAGATCCACTGATTCTTGTTGGTAAGAATCCGATTTTAGGGGTTGATTGTCATTTTTTTGATTCGTAACAAGCATTTGAAGATCTGATAAAGGATTGCTGATAACAGTTTTTTGATGAGCTGATAAAGATGGGCGCACGGTTGAATTTTTAATCGTTGGAGAAATGGTATTACGGTGATCGGAGTGTATTCCAGATTTAGATGATTTATCCGTAGATTGAGAACGGATCATTAAATCTCTTGGAGAATTACGCAGTTTTGATAAATCCGTAGTCGCACCTCCTGCCATTGCGTACTCGGACATTGAATTGAAAATATCTGAATGATGTTTAATATCTAATCGTGACTGAGGTAAAATAGTATTTTGAGAATGAGCATTGTGAATATTGGGTAGGTTTTTTTGATTAGATGCGTTCCATTGATTGTATCTGTATTCCGTGTGAGCATGTGCAGGCATCATATTACTATGAGGGTTCGAATAATATGGGTTTGTTTGCCGAGGCATACCCATTCCTACGGGGTTCCAACCGAGAGAGTGTGCTTGAGAAGACCCACCAAACGAAAAAGGTCCTCTCCGAGGGTGATTGCCGGGATTTTGAATCCCTTGTTGATTTAAGAATTCCCATTGATTAATTTCGTTGTAATTTGATGATCGTTTGTGATGAGTTTTGTCTTCTTGATATTGACTCATGGCATCTCTTTTAATTTTTTCATCCAAATCGTTGTTGAAATCATCTAAAATCTCTTTTCTAATAGATTTTTTTCTTTCGTCTGAAAATTTAAATTTTTTTTCTTCTTTTTCTAAAAGTATTTTACTTATAAAATCATTCATGAGCTTGGATTCTTCAATAAATTCTTTTTTTTTGAAAATTGTTTCTTCTTCTGATTTATTTTTGTTAGTCAATGAAATAGAGAGTTGATCAGTTTCACCACCTTCATAAATAATACTGTCCTGACAATTTTTTTCCTCAGTCTTTTTTTGTAAAAACTGAAGAAAAGAATCTGTCAATATATCTTGATTGGATTCTGAATTCTGTTTAATTTTTGTAAGATGTTTAGAAATAAAATGTTGCCAATCTTCAATATTGACATTGATTTCTGGATCATCTTCTTTTAACAATTTAGAAGGCCAAATATTAACATCATGATCTTTTTTCGTTTTAGAAAAACTCTCTGTGCTTAGATCGGCCGAATCTTGATCCTGTTTATTCTTAAAATGACTATTAAAAGAATTTAAAAAATTTATTTGATTAGAATTGGGCTTTGAATTTGAATTTGAATTTGTCTTGGCCACTTTTGGGCAGTTATATAAACTTGACTGTTCCTTAGAAATATTTTTTACATCTTCTTGAAATAGTATTGAAGAAACTTGCCGATTTTTGTACAGGTTTTTAAGAACTGCAGAGCTGTCAGGAATTTCCTCAAATATATTATTATTACTGATATTATTTAAATGTTTACCACTCGAAAAGTTTGAATTTGAGGTAAAATTCAATGTACTATAAGAAAAATCAGAGCAATTTGAAGAAAATTCAGATGAATTATTGTAACTGTTTAAAGATGATATTGTTTTAGATATTGTAATAGGACAAATATCAGAATTTGAATTAAAACAATTACTGCTTGTAGAAACTTGGTTTTTCGAATGACCAATGTTCGAAAAGTTTTGCACAAATTGTGATGATTGAATTGTTTCCGAGAGTGTTTGTTCAACTAAATTGGTTGAAGATGGTGTAGTTGCTAGATTAAAAGAATATTCTTCACTTGTTGGGCCTGCCAATGAAGTATGACAAACACCAGATGGTGTTGTAACACAATCTCTCTCTGAAATTATAAAATGAAAAGAAATTAATGATAATTGCTCAAAAGCATTTTTTTAAAATTTCAAATTAATAAAATTATAATAAAATAAAATTAATAACATGCTTTCTTGCTTTATTGAAAAGGCTAATAATTTAAGTTTTTCACTGTAAGTTGACAGTTTTTTTGTAAATTAAAGTAAATACCTTAATTAATTTAAAAAAAAAAAGAAATTAGTAAAATTTTCAATAAAAGAGTGAATAATTTAGACTAGAATAAGGTTCTTTAAGGTTCTAGAATGTGAAATTTTTTTTACACAATTACACAATTCAACTTTTCAAAAGTTTTTTTTTTTTTTTTTAGAATTTAATATTCGTTGGTAAGTAATTTCAGGAAATAACACTGAAAATTACCGTATGCGTTTAAAAAACATAAAAATAATTATAAAAAAGAAAAAAACTAAACTGATGTTAAATTCAAAAATTAGACAATTTAAAAATTTATATTATAAGTAGTAGCTGGAAATTCCAGATCGAAAACTCCAAGAGCTTTTTGAAAAAAAATTCTATTAAAAAGGAATATTTATCAATAAAATAATATATTAAAAAAAATTATAAAAAACGTTTTAAAAACTATAAATCATTTAACGCATGTGGCAAAAACAGAATCTATTTTCAAAATTTGTACCGGTGCTTTCCTCAACTCAGAAATGCTTCTATGATTCGGCCATTCTTTCTTTGTACGTGAACTTATCGATTAAAACTGGCCAAAATGTATTCACTTTTTGATATTTCAAAAAGTAGACCCGAATAAAAATTTTTAACACTCTTTTCGTTTAATTACTAATCAAAATAAAACTTACCCAAAAAAATCGAAATAAATATTTATTGTTGAAAAATATAGATTTTCAAGGTTCATGCTTCTTCCAAACAAACAAAAATGGCGAATTTAAAACAAGCGCTGCCATCTTTGGATAGAAATTAATGTTAAGGATCTGGAATGTGTTTGCCAAGGGCCGACAAATTTTTTTTTTTTTTAATTCATAATCACACATAAAATAATTTTGCCACGAAATTATGTTTGTACAAAATAAATTATTGAAAAATAAATAAATTACTAACTCAAATACTATGAAAATAAATATATAAACGTAATTTTTAAATTTTAATAAGGGATTAACTATTTTACATTTAAAATTAAGGGTGAAATAATTTTTTTTTTTTTTTTTCAATAAATTAATCATAAAATTTTAAAAATTAACACTAAATAATGTTAATTTAAATTATTAAAATTAATTAATCCATATTAGTTAATAGGTAATTTTTAAATACGTTAAAACATTCGGATTTAAAGTAATTTTTAACAAAAAAAATTGTAAATTAATTAAAATTAAAAGAAGTTTATGAAAAATGTCTTCCATACCAACCAAATAAAACTTAAAATTTATATACAAAAAAATAAATTTTGAAAAATATTTATATTTGGATTACGTATTATTTGGGCGTGAATGTTTTCATAAACAAAATAATGATTTATTATTTATTCTTGTTATTCTACAAAAGAATTATTTGAGAAAAGAACAAAAAAAAATTTAATACACAACATCATTTATATATATATATATATATATATATATATATATATATATATATATATATATATATATATATATAATTAATTAATTAATTAATTCAATATAGGCAATAATTATAACCAATTAAAATAAAAAGAATTAATCACGTGACATTTATTTAACACACTTACCTTATCAAGTATGAAAACTTTTTTTTTTTTTTTTTTATTTTAAAATTAACTTTTACCAAAAAAAAAATAAATAAATAATTTTTTTAGGAATAAAAATTCTTTTACATATTCTCTCACTCTCTCACTCTCTCTCTCTCTCTCTCTCTATCAAAAAAATAATAATTATTAACGTACCTCAAATGTGAATGGTTAAAAAAAAAAAAATTTTTAAGTACCTTGAAAAACTGTTTCCTTATGCTCCCTCATGTTTTTTCTGACGTTCAAATATATCTTTAATTAGGGTTAATTGACAATTTTTATTATTATTTTTATTATTTTAAAAAAAACGTCACATTTTCAAATGCAAATTTAATTTACGTTAAAAAAAAAAATAATAATAATTTTTTTACCGAAAACGTTGAAGATAGAAAAAAAAAAAAAAAAAAAAAACTTTTCTTTTTCTCTAACATTAAGTAAAAAAAAAAATAATAATAATAATAATATTATTTATGACGAATATATATATATATAAGAAGAGTTTTTATCAAAAGCTAAACATTGTTTTTTTTTTATAAATTTGACTTTTTTATTTTTCTCTAAAAATCTAGAACGCAATCCCTGGCTAATTCTATAGAAACCGTTGCTAAGCGTTTTTAATGCAGCATCATTTATATAAGTTATCTTTTTTTTTTTAATAAAAATTATTAATTAAATAATAATAATAATAATTATGTTAATATTAAAGAAAATATTACAACATTATTGTTACTAATGGTTTAACAATTATATAAATTTCCTATTTTTTTATTTTTTTTTGTTTTTTTTTTTTTTTTTATTGATCTTACGTGATCCAATAACTATTGATAAATTTTAGCGGGAAAATTTTTAGTTTTTTTTTTTTTACGTTAGTTTTAAATTTGTATAGAATGACATTAATTAATATTTATTCTTCAAATTATAATGAATCATTTCATTTGAAAATAATTTTTATTGTTTTTGTTGACTTTTTTTTTTTTTTGACAACAATGTTTTTTTTTTTGTTTGTGTTACAAAAAGAAAAAAAAAACATTGTAATTTATTTTAATTATTAAATACAATTAAGTGCCATTGTTTTTAAATTAAAAAACTGTGATGTGTGTAAATTTTTTTTTTTTGTACAAAAATTAATGGAGTAGTTTATGTGAGTTTTTTTTCGGTTTTTTAACAGCTTTGAAAAATTGATATTTTTTTTAAAATTGTAACTCTATTGTTTTTATTTGAATTAATAATTTTAAGAAAATAAATTTTAATTTTTTTTTTTTTTTTTAAAATAATTTTATATTTAATTGACATCTTACATTGACTTAAGAAAATTTAGCAAATTGTTGTAAAATAGAGTAAAAAATTAATTAAGAAAAAAATATTCTAGTAATTGTAAAGATTATTTCATAAATTAGTAAAAAAAAAAAAAACTAAAAATTATAATTATATAAAAAATATATGATTATTAAACAAAAATAAAAGTATTTAAACTTTAATTTAAAATTAATATTATTAAAACATTTATTTAATCTAAACTTAATATATTCAGAAAAAGTTTGCAAATTTATTATTAACTTTTGATTAGAATTTGATAAAAGTTTTTAAATAAATTATATAAAAAGGTATTTTAAAAATTTAACATAAAAATTATTTTTTTTTAAAAAGCTGCTAAGTAAGACCATTTGGGGTATGTTTTTAAAAGCCTATTTTAAAGTTATTCCTAGTAGGCTGTGATTTGAGAGACAAATAAACATGGCTGCGAAAAGTGTGCATGGCGTTGAACGTGTTCGTTCTAAATTGGAAACTTGCATTAACTCTGGAAATTATTATGAAGCTCATCAGTTATATAGAACATTATACTTTCGGTAAGATATATTTTACGATATTTCGGTTTTTTCCTTAAATTGATAAATAATTCAAATAATGATTTAATAACAAGCTATCTCTCTCTGTCTCTCTCTCTTCCCTAATCATTATTCTATATTTTAACATTAATTTGATTTTTGATGCAGTCTGATTGTTAACAATCAAATTGTTTTATCAATTAGTTAATTACACATTGTTATTATTTCTTTTTTTTGAAACGCTGTTGGGTTAATTTTTATAGAAATAAATTTGAATCATTTTTTAAAAATTATGTATTGTTGATAGTATGAATTATAAATAGAGCCGCTTTGACTTTGATTAAGTACTGATGCCTACGTTTATTCTTAAATTAATTATTAATTAAAGTATTTAAAATAAATTTTTGAGTAAATATAAAATATTTATTTTGAGAAAATATCTTTATTTTTAATGCATTATAATAAATAATTATAAATATATTTTATTATTATTATTATTTGTAGATATCTCAGCCAAGAGAAATATACAGCTCTTCTTGACCTTTTATGTGATGGTGCATTGGTCTTATTAAAACATGATCAGCAATCCAGTGGAGCTGACCTAGCTATTCTTTATGTTGAAGTACTAGTCAAGTCAACAACTAAACCAGGGGAAGCATATTTCTCTACTTTAGCAAATTTATTTCAAATGATTAATTCAGAGATACCTGAAAGAGAGACTTTTTTAACAATGGCTTTAAGATGGTCTGTAACAGGATCAGAAATTTATAAAAGTGGCCATCCTCAATTGCATCAATTTATCGCTGAAATATTTTGGAAAGAAAAAAATTATGTTTTGGCTAGGTACCATTATTTACATTCTTCTGATGGGCAAGGCAAGTTAAAATTTCAAAGTAATGGTATTTTGTGAGAAAAAAAAAAAAAAAAAGAAAAATTACAATTTTAATGAATATTAAATTTTTTTTGTATTTTTTACACAAATAGGTTGTGCTGCCATGTTAGTTGAACTTCATATATTAAAGGGCTATCAAAGCGAAGTTGATCTATTTATAGCTCAAGCTGTGCTTCAGTATTTATGTTTGCAAAATAAAAATACAGCTGCAGTTGCTTTTAATAGTTATACAACTCAGCATCCTAACATAAAAACTGGTTTCCCATATCTTTTACCATTATTGAATTTTATTTGGTTTTTATTAAAGGCTGTCGAAAGGTAAAAAAGAAATGCTGATTTTTTTCTTTTACTCTCAATTATTTTATTTATGACTACAAAAAAATTTTATTTCAGTGGTAAGTTAACTGTATTCACAGTGTTGTGTGAAAGATATCAGCCCATTAT